GGAGGAGGGGCTGGGGGTGGGGTGAGAGAGAGGTCCGAGGCGGAGGGGATCTGTGTAGGCATCTGGCTGATTTACGTCATTGTACAGCAGAAGCGCAGACAACAGTGTAAAGCCATTATATTCTAATAAAAAGAAAACATCCAATTTATTAACTTAAAAAAAGAAGTATTTAGATACGATTATTACTCATTTAACTCTTTCAGTTCAGACACTGAATTTTACCTTGTGTCTTTGTATTTTTAAAACAAATTTTCTCAGTTCTAAAGTGCAACAATCCTTCTGGTTTGTCTTTAGCAATTTTTACACCACAGGAAAGAGTTGTTTTAAAATCTCAGTGAAAGTGAAAGTCGTTCAGTTGTGGCCTACTCTTGGCGACCCCATGGACTATACAGTCCATGGAATTCTCCAGGCCAGAACACTGAAGTGGGTAGCCTTTCCCTTCTCCAGAGGATCTTCCTAACCCAGGGAAGGAACCCAGGTCTCAGATTAGTTTGGGATTTTTTAAAATAGAAGAATGAGAGTAATATGTTTAATTTGCATTTGTCTACACAGTTCTTTAATGGTTTACTGTACTTTAAACCTTGCCACTTTCAATAATCTGTTGTACAAATGCCTTACTTGAATTGAGCTACAATCTCCTTAAGCCTTTTGGTATTTGCTTCCTGTACAGTCTTTTTGTTTAATGAAGTTCACACCTTTACTTTGTTACTAATGGAGATAGTAGTGGGCTTCCTTGCATACAATTTATTGAGACTAGGGCAGCTCTGATACCTAAGCAGAGATAGAAGTGACAGGGTATCGAGACAAATACTGCAGTGTTAGTGACAATCAGAAAAATCACTGGGGCCTCAGATGGAAAGAGCAGCAGCCTCTGTAAGCCTATTTCATCATCAGGCAAATGATCTTATGGCCCACATGATGGAGATGTCCGCTCCTTGCTCTAACCAAGGTTTGTACAGACAACTAGACATACATAAAAGAAACACATTGAAATGATACTTGTCCTGGAAGATTTAGGATAATTTGAAATGAGAAAGTAAAAATTACCTTAAACTAAGAATGTAAATGTCTGCTTGGCCATTCACTGGGCTGGGATGAGAAACACAAAAATCCCAGCTTCAAAGTTAACAGGAAATAACCCCTCTCTCAAGGATATGCTGCAGTTGTGAAGTGTAATAACACCCCCCTTTTTTGAGTGTCTACTTTCCAATTCACTGGAAAGTTTTGTTCTCTGAAATCATACGCTGCTAGGAACCCTGCTGTGGAAATTGTATCAGTAACAATGAAACACTCTATTCTTGCTTGAAGGATTTAAGTCACTTTGATCCAGAGACACAGCTTCAGTTTCCAACCTAGCTGCAATGCCTGCGTTGAGGGGACTGCTGAGTGTAACAGTCAGCATATACAGTAACTTTGGGGTTTCCAAGAAACAGGATCCTGAGACTCTTTGGATCTGATGTTGAGTTTTTCACACACAGCCCTGCTTTGAATCTAACAAAGTACTGCTTCTTTTTAAATTTCACCCACTCCAGTATTCATGTCTAGAAAATCCCATGGACAGAGGAGCCTGGCGGGCTACAGTCCACATGGTCGCACAGAGTTGGACGTGATTGAGCAAATATGCACAGTAAGTCCATCTTTCCCCCAGATTCCGTAACTGTCTTTTCCTTTGTTTCCTGAGACCTCCCACAGTTATTCTGATGTGCAGTCTCCTTCACTGGAATGGACCAGTCATCCTGATTCTATCTAACTACAGGTTTGTCCCCAGTGGGTTTTGGGCGGATCAGTTAGGACAAGAGGCATCAGAATCTAGTCAAGGCTCATGGTAATAGAGCAGAAAGTCTTTGTAGGCAATGAAAATTTTAAGAAGGAAAATTTACATTATGTGAACCAGAAATGCCACAAAACTAGCTCTAAAGCATTTGACCCACCACCCTAATTATGATCAGAGTGTATGTGTATAACACTCTTCTCCCCGCAGAAGGAACCATAGTTTCTTGAAGTGTAGTTGATCCCATGGCTTAGAAGAGGGAAAAAAATCAAGATTGACCTGGAACCTGGACCCTGAAATCAAAAATGTTTCAAAAAGTTGCTGCAGATTTAAAGAAAGGAATGGACTTATAGGGTCCATATGGGGCAATTTGAGCATCCAAAGAATAATTATAGTTAAAAAGTAAGTTGAGACTATAATGATACTCCAAAATAGGAGATAAATAAACCATATAAAACAATATAGAACAAAATAAATTTATGATAGAATATTTTTAATTTTTACAATTAATTTCAAGTACAGATGTGAGTTTTTAAGTGTGTATGGGTATGTATAAGCTCATACAGCAGGGAACTGAATAACTGCATAAGTGAGAACGGAGCCGATTATCGGAAGAGGCGATTAGCACCAGTCAGCACACGTAGAGCCAGGCAGGGGGCGACGCAACGTGGCTCTGAACTGAGACCAATCAAAGGTCTCACTATATGAACTCTGGTCTCCTTCTCTGAGTTCTTTCTGACATTGTTGTTTAGTTGCTAAGTCCTGCTCTTTCGATACCCCATGGACTGTAGCCCGCCAGGCTCCTCTGTCAGTGGGGTTTCCTAGGCAAGAAGACTGGAGTGGGTTGCCATTTCCTTCTCCAGGGGATCTTCCCCACCTAGGGACAGAACCTGCCTTCTTTACACTGAGCTATCTGGGAAGCCCACTCCCCCATTAATGTGATGCTAATAAGGAATGAAAAATTTTGCAATAATATTATATACATAATATATATATTAATATATATATAAATAATGATCTTAGTCACTTAGTTGCTCAGTCGTGTCCAACCCCTTGCGACCCCATGGACTGCAGCACGCCAGGCCTCCCTCTCCATCACCAACTCCCGGAGTTTACTCAAACTCATGTCCTTTGAGTTGGTGATGCCACCCAACCACCTGATCCTCTGTTTTCCCCTTTTCCTCCTGCCTTCAATCCTTCCCAGCATCAGGGTCTTTTCAAATGAGTCAGTTCTTCACATCAGGTGGCCAAAGTGTTGGTGTTTCAGCTTCAGCATCAGTCCTTCCAACAAACATGCAGGACTGATTTCTTTTAGGATGGACTGGTTGGATCTCCTTGTTGTCTAAGGGACCCTCAAGAGTCTTCTCCAACACCACAATTCAAAAGCATCAATTCTTCGGTGTTCAGCTTTCTTTATAGTCTTTATTTCTTTATAGAGAAATATCTATATATGCCTACTGGAAAAACCATAGCTTTGACTAGATGGACCTTTGTTGGCATAGTAATGTCTCTGCTTTTTAATATGCTGTCTAGGTTGGTCATAACTTTCCTTCCAAGGAGTAAGNAGATGAGTAAGAACAGAAATTAAACTTTCTTCACCAATACTGTTTAAAGAATTACATTAGTGTAAAGGGAATTGTGTTCAAAGCGTTCAGTAAAATAAATGGGAATACCCAATTTAAAACCAGCTATTTTTCACTTTAGAAAAAGAAATGAACTCAAATATTCCCGGGGCCCTTTTATTTTACCCATTAGTAAGCAAGGAATGCTAATCAATGAAGATTTAAGTAGGAAAGGAGAAATGAACTTTGAATTAACATGAAGAATTGCATCAGATTCCCTAAGAAACATTTTTTTTTTTTTTCCCCAAAAGCATTTGAACCATTTTTGATGTGTAAGTCCAAGGTTTTATAGTAAAGAAGCACGGCGCTCTTCGAGGATAGTCTGTGTCAAACTAGGAAAATTACGATGATCTTAATAATTTTATTACCCTTGAAGCCATGTTTCCTAAATACTGATTATAAGATTAGTATTTTTTACTCATTTAGATTGTGTGTGACTCAGGATATCAGCAGGAACTGACAGCCGTCCTGAAAGGTAGCTGAAGGGTTTTTAATGAGGACACTTTCACAGAAGCATAGGCAGAATTTGAAGAATCATAGAGGAGAAGCACAATCAAACTTGTAATAGCAAAATGCTGTTAACCAGCCCTGGGCCTGAAAGACCAAAGAAGCGAACAGGTTATCTTGGTCAGAGTCTTGGTCAGAGAAGAACTAGAGCCAGAGAAGGGGCTATATTTGCAAAGAGAGGTAGTCAAAGGATACAGCACAGGGATGCATTTCAGATCTCCCTCTCTCCTCCTGCCTTCCAGTAACTTTCCATTAATTGAATCCTTCTGAAATATCAGAGATTAAGTAACTTAAGTGGAGCAGTGCAGGGAAGTCAGATTTCTAGAGCACAGCTGAAAGCAAAAAAAAAAAAAAAAAAAAGAATGGAGGTACTTATATACAACAGTATTTTTAACCAATCCACATATCTTGAAAACCATTTGACAGTGAACTATTTCTGATATCAATTATGCCAGTTACCATGCTTCAGTGAACGTGGAGATTATAGCGGTTGAAGTTAGTGCCTGTTGATACGCCTAACGTTTTGAAGCGAAGACCGTGCAGTTAGAATGCCTGGTAAGGTAAATGCTGTCAGAGGTGATGCCGACGATGAGGATACAGCCACAAGACTGAACAATATATAATATAAACTATAAGTTTAAATGAGAGGTAACAACGGAAGTTAATGAGTGAGGAAGTTAATGCAAATTACAGAAGTTGCCTAGCTTCTGTTCCTTTCCGGCTTTTGGGGGGATCTACAGCAGCTTTGCCAGAATCCCTAAATCGAAGCCCAATTCCTATTCGCCGCCAAGTCACCTGGCGAGGACTACAGCTCCCAGAAGGCAACGCTCGGCTCTCGCGACGCCGCCCCCTTAGCCCGCCGGGAGTTGTAGTTTACAGAAGATCGCCGTGAACCTAGTTCTACGCGCTTGTCCACAGAAACTGGGCGGCCCCGGTCTCCTCTCCTTCCGGGTCTCTGCGGCGGTCGGATTCGTGAACCTAGTCCGGGTGCTCGGCCGGGCGGGAGGCCGCGGCCGGCCGGCGGCGAGGCGCTCTAGGCCGCGCGGCTTCGTCTCTATGACCCCGGGAGGCGGTCCCGGGCGCCCTCGGCGCGCGCGGAGGGCTTGCGGGTCAGTTCCGCGCAGCGCGGCCGGGGAGCCATGGCCGCCCCAAGAGGTGAGGCCGTGGCCGGCGGGACTGGGGAGGCCGGGCCGGGGGCGCGCTGCAGAGCGAGCCTCAGCGCTTGCCTGCATCTGTCTGCGGGCGAGCATCCTCCGCGCCCGCGGGGCTCGGGTCTCCGGCTGGTAGGCCCGCGCGTCGGGGAGCAGGGGTTTGTGTTGAGCGGCTCCCGGGCTTGAGCGCGCGCTGCCACCGGTCAGGGCGGCGCGGGCCAGCCAGCCTCCCACTGCGGCTGCCTTCCCGGGGGGCGGACTCAGCGCCAGCCGGTTCGGCGGCCGGAGACCGCGCCTGCCTGGACGAGTGGGTGGGGGACAGAATTCAGACAGGCCTGGGCTGCAGCCGACCAGGCGGGGAGTCGGGGTGCCGGGCCCGGGCTGGAGCCGCATCACCCGGCGGGAGGCAGAACGGGTCTCACTCCGGGCCGGGGTCACCGCGGCTGCGGTCTCCGCGGTGCCTCCTACACTAGGATGCTCGGAGCCTTCAGGGCACGCTCTGGGTGCAGAACCTAAGCAGCGGCTGGTCCGCCTAACAGACACTGAAAACATCCTTGGGGCAGGAGAACAGCCTTGCAAGTGTGATGAGACGGAGAAAGCTGTGGTTAACACTTACTCTTGAGGACGTTATATGGTTAGAAGGAACACTTGAATATTTTGCGGGGAGGGTGATATCCATCGTCTGCCCCTGCCCTTGCCCCTTCCTCAGGGATAGCTCATTAGAGTAATAATGTTTGATGACTAATTGCCTTTGCCTGAGTCTAAGTATCATTAACTGCAGCTCGTTTGCTTTGCTGAATGGGGTAAGTTAAAACCGGAGTTGAGTTTCTGAATGGTGAAGCTACGAGCGATTGGGCAACACCCGGATTTTTCTCCACATTTCCTCCATAGAGCTCTTGGCTTCACGCCTGAATATACGTGGAACAAATATTTGAACAATAGCTTTTTGCGTGGGTGGCGGATTATTTTCCTGGTTGGGGAGGCCACGTTTATCTTTCAAGCCCTGCTCAGGGGCGTTATCTGCAATTGCATATGCTTCTCGCATTTGAGATGAGCCCACCTTTAAGAGCCTTTTATAGCAACACCCGAAATAAAGGGAAAAAGTAGAATTATTTTGATAATTGACATAAAATGAAATTAGCAAGATGAATGGTGAAGGCAATTACAGAATTACCTAAGTCAAATCATCTGAAATAGTTGCTCAGTTTACAGATTTAGGCTTATTGCCAATACATATTTGTTGTGCCTGGGTCTTGTGATAAATCTTACATGTCCGCTAGAACTGTGTAATACAAAACTGGAATCCCGAACTTCCTGATATTCACAAAGAATTTATTTATTTCTGGGACTTCCTAATTTCCACCTTCTCAGGTGTTACAAATAATGTTCACTCTAAAATATAGTAAACTATAACTGAGAAAAATATACAACTCCAGATTGTAAATTTCTTTTGCGGGGCGGGGTGGTGGGATTCTACACATAGAAACACAGGTTGCGTGGGAGCTAATGGGACCTTTGAGAGGACACAGTGCCGACGTGCCACTGTGCCCACTCAACAATGCAGCTCACTGTGGGCTTTTTGCCACCGCATGGATCCTAGTCCTCCACTGACTGACTGACTATTGAGTCTCTGCCCCCGGCAGTGAGGCTCAGGAGTTTTAACCATTGGACCGCCAGGGAAGTCCCTGTATGGACTTGTGATATTACCTTGAAACAACCTGAAATTGCTAATAATTGCGCTTTCATTATACAGATGTTTAAACTTATTTGCTTGCTCTTTTATTTAATCAGTTATTTTCAGGAATATCATATATATTCCCATTTAATCACTATGCTAATAGGTGTATTTTCAAAATTTTAACCATTTTGTTGTTTTGGAATCAGGAACCTATATAATCGCTGACATAGCTTTTAGTTTAGCAGTCCTAACCTCTTATTCATGAAAGCATTGATAACTTAGGACATGTGGGTTGGTAAACTTTTTCTGTTAATGGCTGATGGTCTCTGTCATAACTACTCACTCTGCTGTTGCAGGGCAAAAAAAAGCCATAAATAATTCGGAAACAACATGAGTATGTTCTAATACAACTTTTTTTGTGACACTGTAATTTGAATTTCATATAGTTTTCATATATCACAAAAGGTTATTTAAAAACTTTTTTCCAGCCATTAAAAAATATGAACCTATTCTCAGGTTTCAGATCAGAGGAAAAGGAGAGGAAATACACTCTGTTCACCCTGATCAAGAAGGTGGGAAATGGTTTCTCCTGTGCCGCTGTTTATTTTTTGTCTTACATTTCCTCCTCGTGTAGGAGAGTTTTAGGGCACGTGAAGTATCACAGTGATCTCCTCCGATCTCTTTTACATTGACATTGCTTTTTGGGTCCTCAAGATCGATTGAAACTTTAGGCAGAGATAAGCTCTATTTTTTTCTATTCTGCCATCCAACTTTTTAGTTAAAACCTAATGGACTTTTAAACATCTGCCTGAATTTTCCAAACAATTCTTTAATTCACCCAGGGAAAAATATTTATATTGAAGAACCTGTTTTCCTAGTAAGTTTCCACCTTACCATATAAAGATGATTTGTTTGACACTTATTTTCCTGTGCAAGTCACCTTTGAACTGTGGTTAGGCTTCCAAAGTGGTTAAGAAGCATGCTTAGATGTAATGTAGTTATAGTAGCAGCCCAGAGCAACCTCTTCCCTCTGGTTCTTAACCCGGGTTGTCAAAGTGTGGCCCATTGGTCAAACCCAGCCTATGACTTGTTTTTGTATGACTTGTGAGCTAAGAATGGTTTTTACAGATGAACGTTTACGGCTGATCTGATGGAACAGCAGCTTTGAAGACCAGTGAAGCAAAATGTTACCTGCCTCCACCTCCACCTCCACCCCCAGAATTCCTGTCTTCTCAATACAATAAAGCATTGTACTCAACTATTATTATATTTTGAATTTTTCCAATTAAATATAAATTAAATGTGAAAATATGTTTTCTCTCTTGTCACCTAAGTACCTACATGATATCCTTAATTTTGCCTCCTGGCCTAAAAAACCTAAAATATTTACTGTTGGCCCTTATAGAAAAAAACTTGCTGATCCCTGTTTAACATGTGCCTGAAGATTTTTGAAAGAAGGTTGAATAAAGCTGGGGATGAAGGAAGTATGAAGTGGGTAAAACAGAAACAGTTTGAGTATTAGGTGATGGCTGTCTCAGAACAGGGCTAGGAGTACTGAGGGAGACCTCGCTACTCAGTGCCTGTGGTTTTCTTGAAGTTGGAGGACCTGCCTTGGTGCTTGAGTGATGGCTGATGCTCAGATACACTTACAATAAGTTCTTAAATTGAGTGTTCATCAGTTGTGTATATTTTCTGGATGGCAGGCTTTACAGAACTTCATTCTTCATACTCTTTTGTGTGTGTGTGTGTGTCATGAGTTATCTTTCATATAATGCCGTAAAATGAGAGGCTGAATGTAATTTATATTATAAAATTCTGTATTATTTTATCATTTCCTTATTCCTTCTGTTTTCTTCCTGCTGTCTTTCTGTTTGGCATACACATTATTGTTTTTATCCTGCCATCATGTGTTGCTTTCACAAGTGTGAGTTATAAAGGTATATAAAGCATGTAATTTATAGCATCCTAAACTGCAGTTAGTTAAGCCAGACAATCCTGCAGTTGAGCCCTCCCCGGGAACAAGCCCTGTGCTTGGCCGGTTGGTACCGACAGTCCGCTGTGTATTGCGTGCCTGTGTGTGTGTCTTTTCATGTGGTTGAGAGCATTGTTTTGGGGGGAAAAAAAATGTATTTTGTGCTCGAAATTGGAAAGCATCTTGAAGTATAACACTGATTAGCTTTTATATACATAATGCTGTCTATTAAATAATATCTTTGCACATATTTTCCAGAAAATGTCAATTTATTATTCAAGTTATACTGCTTGGCAGTGATGACCCTGGTGGCCGCAGCTTACACCGTAGCTTTAAGATACACAAGGACGTCAGATAAAGAGCTCTACTTTTCAACCACAGCCGTGTGTATCACAGAAGTGATAAAGTTATTGCTAAGTGTGGGCATTTTAGCTAAGTGAGTATAAATACTTTATAGTGTGTTAAATTATTACTTTTTTATTCAGTTACGTTCTTTATTAGAAAATCCAAGCTGTATCCTCATATGTTTGATGGCTCTAGAGCAAGCTTTCCCGGCTCAGGTCATTTTTGCTCCCCAGGAGGTATTATTTTGGTTGACCCAACCTGGGGGATGCTACTTACATCAAGCAGGTGGAGGTCAAGGGTGCTGATAAACATCCTGCGATGCTGTGTCCTCTGGGACAGCAGTCCGTAACAAAGACGTCTCCAGCCCCAAATACCAGTGGTGCCACAGTTGAAAAACTCCACCATAAAGCAGGTGGAGTTGGCTAACTGTGGCCCACTGGTTAATCCCGTTTGCTGCTTGTTTTTGTTGGAACACAGTTTGCGTGGCTCACACAGTTTACCATTTGGTTCTTAGAGAAAACGTGCTGACATCTGTTACAGAGGAGTAAAGCGATCCTAATAGTTAACATTTCTTTAGCCTTTTCTATGTTAAGTGACACTGTACTAAGTGCTTTTCATTAGTCGCCTCGTTTGGTCTTTATACGTTCTTCAGGTAAGTACGATAATTACCGCAGTTTTACCTGCATGGTGTCTGAGGTTGCTCAATATCATGCTGTTAATATGGGCAGCCCTGGGGGCTTTGGATCAGTAACAGTGGGTGAAAGTTGTTTTGGCAAGGCTGAAATGTAAGACAGGGTTGAGAATAGTGCATTTGGAGTGATACAGACCTAATTTTAGTCCCAGACTTGTTGGGATTATTACTTTCCATATATTCCTTAGCTTCTCCTCTTCTCCTAAGCTTCAGTTTCTCTATTTCTTTTTTTAAAGTTCACATTTTAAGTCTTCAGTGCTGCCCATAAGCCCAGCAGTTTTTTAGTTGTCCGTTTCATTTCCCACATTATATTCATAGGCTGGAATATTTTAAGTCTAATAAAAATCAGGTGACTTTCTCACCACCAGTAAAGGAAAGTGGGACATCTATGCAAAGGGAAGTTCTGGACACTGTGTCTATAAAACCAGGGGTGAGAGTCCACTCAGGACAGAAGAGGACAGCGCGGGCTGTGGACAAGAGAAAACGGGACACAAGACAAAGGAAAGTGAGGCAGACGGGAGGAGGCGTGCTTTGGGTACATTGTATAGTTTCTTCAGTTTTCTACTGGAGAAAATAGAGCTGTGAGAATTAAAAGCTGGTAGGAAATTACTTGAAAAGATTTTTTTAGCCTTTAAAAAAAAAAAAATTTACTTATTTGGCTGTGCTGGGTCTTGGTTGTGGCTGTGGGATCTAGTTCCCTGACCAGGGATTGACCAGGCCCCCTGCATTGGGAGCCCAGAGTCTTAGCCACTGGATCACCAGGGAATTCCCATACTTGGGAAAGATGTTCGAGATGAGGACCCACCTGGGTCATGTGGACAAGTGATGTGGATAGGTTTCAAGATGTAGGCTGGTGAGTGTAGGAAGCAGTGTATAGGTTTAAATTACATTTAAACACTTTAAATTTCATTTAACAAATGTTTATTAAGTGATTTCTGTGTGACAGTTTTATAATAGGTGCTGGATATAGAAATAGACTGGAGAAGGAAATGGCAACCCACTCCAGTGTTCTTGCCTGGGAAATCCATGGACAGAGGAGCCTGGTGGGCTACAGTCCGTGGGGTTGCAAAGAGCTGGACAGGACTGAGCGACTAGACCACAGCACTAGACTTGGTATGATATGAAATAGATACGGTATAAATAAAATAGATGTTATCGTATGAATGAAACATATGGTTCCTGCTTGCTTCAAATTTAGGTTTAGTGGAAGGGACAAAATATACTAGAAAACACATGCATGATTACAGATAATCCATTTGAAAAAAATACTTTAAAAATGGTGTGGAGAGGGAGAAAAGAACAGGAAAATAATTGAGGCTAGAAGGTGGAAAGCTCTGATAGAAAATCTGTGTCTGAGATTTGTCTTGCAGGAAGAGCTAACTTGTGTTGCAAATAGGTTAAAATCTCAGACCCTTACAGTTTCTTACTTAACAAGATCCATGTTTAAGGAAATTTGGCTTCCACTCTTCTGGAGAATGTCAGGTAAAGGAGAGGCCTTATTGTATCTTTAAAAGGCAATGTTCCAAAGGCAAGCATCTCTATATTTGAAATGCCAGAACAACAACCAATTTAGGAGTAAATAAATTAGTAAAAATCTTATGGCTTAACTTCTTTCAATACAAAAATGGAGATAGTGGAAAAGAGACATAGGGAGCACATTTCTTCTCCTTATCCCCCAGCTTCCTTAGGGAGAAAAACTTATGACCCAGGAATGAAATAGGACTGTTAAGCATGTAATCTGCTATTTAAAGCTGTAAGATCAAATTATGGTTCAGTTGTTTTGTAACTGTTAAGAATTTGTTAAAAAGCAGTGAAGCCTTTGGTTTAACTCAGCAGTTGGGCTAGTGTCCTGCCAACCCACTGCAGAGACTTTTTGTCTTATTTGATGCTTTCCTAGCTTTGCGTTGCTTGCCGTATAGTATTTCTTATTCTTAAGCTATTCAGTGTTATGGGTATGGTCAGTTGAAGTTTTTTTTGTGGAAACTTTCTTTGAAATTAATATAAAAGCAGAAAAGTTTTCAAGAATTCACCAGATAAGTTAGAAAATGGTGTTGAAACAACTGTGGAAAACCAAATATTGTCCTTCATTGTCATCATCATCAATAACCAGATGGCTGTTTATGTCACCAGGATAATGTAGTAAAAGTGAAACTCTCTCAGCCGTGTCCAACTCTTTGTGATCCTATGGTCTATAGAGTCCATGGACTTTTCCAGGCCAGAATATTGGAGTGGGTACCCGTTCCTGTCTCCAGGGGATCTTCCCAACCCAGGGCTCCCACATTGCAGGCGGATTCTTTGCCAGCTGAGCCACAGGGAAGCCCAGGATAATGTAGAGCCTCTTACATTACCTGCAGAGTTCACAAGACCAGGGACAATCAGAAAAAAAGTAAAGAATTATGATAACAGAGTTTTGATGGCTGGCATTTGACATGACATGGCTAGCAAGAGTTTGGCTGCGAAGAAAAATCACTTAAAACACAAGGAGTTTACAAGTGGGAAAAAACAATGGAAAAAAATTACAAAGCATGAAAGAAATGAAGTGAATTTGAAATTACTGGATTTTAAAGCAAATGTAATTTTTAATGAGAAACATGTTGGCACATTATGTGGTTATTCAAAACACGTTGGTAGGACAGAATTTCTTGGAGCAAATAAAGAGGGCATCTGTGAAAACATTAATTTCTTGGAATGATAAAATAGTAAAAGAATTATCTTACAATGTTAGGTCACAGGTTGATAGCTACAGAATGAAATGAAAGGACACTGTGTATTACTTGTTCTGCTTATTCAGCAATATGTCATGAGACAGTCGCTAATGAAATGAAATCAAGAGCTATGTGGGAAACATACCCAGTGAAAATGTTGCAAGTTGATTCTAGATCTTGAAAGACACTAGCTTATAATGGTTTACCCAAAGCAGTTTGGAATATGGAAAAGATGAATAAAATAGATGGCTGGACTATGATTAAACAGTTAAGAGTTGGAGCACATGAAAGCGCCTAGAACTTTATATTTGTCTTTTTGATATAGTTGTGTGAAGTTTGCAAAGTAGACTTTCCAGATATTCTCTATTCTGTAATTTCTTTATACACATATTAAAATAGTCAATTTAAAAAAAGTGAATCAAAGGCAAATAGGATGTTAAGTAGTTTGTCCAAAAAAAGCCAGGTTGGATGTTAGTGCTTTATTTGCTGTGATAGACTTCTAAACATCAGAAGATACTTGTTACTCAGAAATTTTAGGAATTGATTTGTTGGTATACATAAGAAACAAATTGATTTCATAATTTTGAACTTATATTGTTTGAAAATGCTTTACCACATGATGTTAAACTAATTCCTTCTTTAAAGCTAAAAACATGACATTGGACTTTTTTTACTTTGTTTTCAAAGTAGAAGCAACACTTTATCATCTGAGAAAAAGGATGACGATTTCAGGATATCGTGAGAGAATGTGAAAGTATGTTAGAAATAATGTAAGATTTAGAACTTGGAGACTCTTCTGAGAAGAAAAAGGATAAGTTAGATCTTCATGATTAATACATTTTCCCTATGTTCCAAAAAAATAAAGTTAATGTAAAAATTAGATAATACTAAATTTTGATTGGAAAGTTTTAGATAATGACAGAAAAGGAAAAAAGTGAACTACCATTTCAATGGAAAAAAACTGTTAAAGGAGGTAAAAGCTTATTCACTTCTTGCCACTCTTTATGCCCTGTTAAAGGGCAATAACTTTTTCGAGGTGGTAACTCCAGACCTCGCTTGTTTCTGTGCTGTGCAAAGCTTGCCCGGCTTGCTTAGGATGGTCTCTCCAGTAATGCTCTTTGCTCAGCAGTATGCTTCCTCTTGGCTAATTGTTAAAGTAAGTGCGTATCATTTTATACTGTGTGGAGATGGGGGCAGAGACTCAGGACAGTTCTTAAAAGTTCTTAACGTCTTGCTTATAATTAAGTTCACTTAGAAATGTGTCACGGCCATGTCCAAATAATCTGTGGTTCACTACCTTCAAACATTTTTTTCTAATTTTTTTGGGGATGTGGACTGTTTTTAAAGTCTTTATTGAATTTGTTACAATATTGCTTCTGTTTTACGTTTTGGCTTTTTTAAAGTTGAATTTGTTACAATATTGCCTCTGTTTTATGTTTGTTTATTTTTTGGTTTGTTTCTATGTTTTATGCTTTGGCGAGGCATGTGGGGTCTTAGCTCCCTGGCCAGAGATGGAACCCTCGCCCCCTGCATTGGAAGCAAAGTCCCAACCACTGGACCACTAGGGAAGTCCCAAACAAACATTTTAAACAGTCATGCTTTGTTTCAATGTACTGCTAAAAAGATGTAGCGCGATAGTCAGAGTCATTCATTTATCCAGTTATTTGCTCAGCACTTTTCAGGATGTAAGAAATA